TATCGAGTTCGGGTACGTGATTCAGTTCAGATCATGCCCGCCTCGGTTCAGGGGGGTTCTGCCCACAATGGTGGGCCACGGGCAGGCTCTGGTTATGGAACAAGAGGTGAAAACTCTCCTGTTGAAGGGGGCTATAGAACGAGTTCTTCCTCCCAGCAGCGAGTTAGGTTATTTCAGCCGATATTCCATCGTTCCTAAGAAGGATGGGGGGGTTGCGTCCAATTCTAGATCTGCACCTGTTAAAATCGCTCAGTAGGGAAGCTCAAGTTTAAAATGCTTACACTCGAGCAGATCCTGGCACAGATCAGGTCTGGTTTTTTCACGATAGATCTAAAGGACGCATACTTCCATATTTCCATCCTTCCACAACACAGGAAGTTCCTGAGGTTCGCTTTCGGGGGCGAAGCGTACCAATATTGGGTTCTTCCGTTTGGCCTAGCACTGTCTCCCAGTACTTTCACGAAATGCATGGATGCAGCTCTGGCTCTGCTGTGACTCCAGGGCATCCGCATTTTAAATTATATCGACGATTGGTTGATTCTAGCTCAATCGGAGCATCAGGCGATTCGGCATCGAGATGTCGTGCTCGCCCATATTAGAAAGTTAGGGTTGAGGCTCAACGCCAAGAAGAGTGTGCTTTCTCCCTTACAGAGGACCACTTTTCTGGGTGTGGTTTGGGATTCGACGATGATGCAGGCACGTCTGTCTCCTGCTCGTATACCTTTGATTCTCTCAGCTGTCAAACAGGCAAAGCTAGGCCAGTCACTCACTGTAAAAGAATATCAGAGAATTCTGGGTCTGATGGCAGCTGCATCCAACGTAATCCTTAGGCCTGCTGTACATGAGACCACTGCAGTGGTGGCTCAGGGCCAAGGGGTTCTCCCTGAGGGGAAGAACCGCTTTCTGACCGGAGGGACTTTTGCAGTTCCTAGAACCTCACACTCCTATAACCCTTTTTTTCTCGTGTTCCGACCGGACTAAATTGGGGATTTTTTTAGTTCCTCAGACCGTAGTTCCTATAACTCTTTTAGTACCTAGTCTAGAGCGAGGACTTTTTTAGTTCCCTTTCCCTAGGTCTACGTTGATTGGTTTAACTTATACGTCATGCCCACTACCAACACGGAACTTGTAGCGCGCTGTCTGCCATACGCTGTGTGTTTTTGCAAAACATTACAACGAGGATTAAGACAAACATAACGCATTCAACCAGCTAATTGCTAATGGTAGCTAAAATTACCCGTCGTTTTGTTTGCCTCCTGCTGTCACAGTCCTTCGTCTGCACCATCCTGTCTGCGTCTCCAGCACTACACTTCCCATGATCCTCTCGTCTGTACACCTGAACTCACTCCCTCATCAGCCTCCCGTTCAGCGTCCTGTTCATCTGTTTCACCTGTCTTTACCTCATTTAGTCCTGATTCCCCTGTGTATTTAGTTCTCCCTCCTTCAGTCTGTGGTTGTCGGTCTATGTTGAATGTTACCCGGTCTTCCTGCCTGTATGTTGAATCTAACTATTATTAAACCTCTGTATTGGAGCTCTTTGGAATCCGCCTGTTCTTCTGCCTAGACCCAACCTCGTGACAGATAGACTGACCAAAACCTTGACAGCATGGGACTTCTCCTCACCCCAGCTCTCACCACCCTCAACCTATTCCAAGACGGACGCTCATCTGAGGAGTATGTCGGCAGGTTCCTGGAGCTCTCTGCTGGGGTAAGTTGGTCAGATGACGTCCTAAAGTCAGTCTTTTGGCTGGGTTTGGACGATCATCTGTACCAGCAAGCCCCAGCAGCAGCGTTTCCAGGAACCTTCGCCGAATACCTGGACCATGTGTTGTGGTTGAGTGGGTCAGCCTTCACCGTTGGTGAGGCTGAAGATGACAGCACCACTCAACCACACACACCCACCATCATCACCACACCTGCCATCATCCCCTCTCCGCTAGTTCCGTCTAGCCTCTCAGAGCCCGAGCTCTCTTCTTCGCTGGTTCCGTCCAGCCCTCCAGAGACTGTATGCTCTTCACTGCTGGTTCCGTCCAGCCCTCCAGAGACTGTATGCTCTTCACTGCTGGTTCCGTCCAGCCCTCCAGAGTCTGAATGCTCTTCACTGCTGGTTCCGTCCAGCCCTCCAAAGACTGTATGCTCTTCGCTGCTGGTTCCGTCCAGCCCTCCAGAGACTGTATGCTCTTCACTGCTGGTTCCGTCCAGCCCTCCAGAGTCTGAATGCTCTTCACTGCTGGTTCTGTCCAGCCCTCCAGAGACTGTATGCTCTTCACTGCTGGTTCCGTCCAGCCCTCCAGAGTCTGAATGCTCTTCACTGCTGGTTCCGTCCAGCCCTCCAGAGTCTGAATGCTCTTCACTGCTGGTTCCGTCCAGCCCTCCAGAGTCTGAATGCTCTTCACTGCTGGTTCCGTCCAGCCCTCCAGAGACTGTATGCTCTTCACTGCTGGTTCCGTCCAGCCCTCCAGAGACTGTATGCTCTTCGCTGCTGGTTCCGTCCAGCCCTCCAGAGACTGTATGCTCTTCGCTGCTGGTTCCGTCCAGCCCTCCAGAGACTGTATGCTCTACACTGCTGGTTCCGTCCAGCCCTCCAGAGACTGTATGCTCTTCACTGCTGGTTCCGTCCAGCCCTCCAGAGACTGTGTGCTCTTCACTGCTGGTTCCGTCCAGCCCTCCAGAGACTGTATGCTCTTCACTGCTGGTTCCGTCCAGCCCTCCAGAGACTGTATGCCCTACACTGCTGGTTCCAACCAGCCCCGTCCAAACCGTTCAGCCCGCCCCAGAGACCGTCCAGCCAACCCCAGGGACCGTCCAGCCTGCGCCAGAGACCATCCAGCCAGCGCCAGAGACCGTCCAGCCAGCGCCAGAGACCGTCCAGCCGGCGCCAGAGACCGTCCAGCCGGCGCCAGAGACCAGGATCCCACCCAGCCTCCCTCTCCCGCCTCCTCTCATCTGTCCTCCATCTTCTCTCCTGCCCTTCAGCTCCCCGAAACCAGCTTGGTCTGTGGATCCCCGGTTTTCGCCTCACACCGCCTCCACTTGGACACTTCCTCGGCCCTCTGTCCCATCAGCTCCCCCGTGGCTCCTACCTCCCTCAGCTCCTCCATGGCCCCTCAGTCCACCAGCTCGGCCAGGCTCCCTCGACCCTCCGGACTCCCTTCGCTCCCTCGTCATCCTCCCTTCACCTCTGGACTTCCTTCCCTGTGCTCCGCACCGTCATGTCACCCCCCCCGGTTCAGTTGGATTCCTCACTCCTTCCAGTCACCCGTCAGCCCTCACTCCCTCTGACCTCACCGTGTCCCTCTGTGCCCCTGTCGTCACTTCCGTCACCTGAGCCTGCGGTGTCACCATGGTCCCTCGGTCCCTCCTCAGCACCATATGTCATCTGTTCCTCAGCTTCACCCTGGTCTCCTCTCCCATCTGCTCCGCCCCTGTCAGTCGGCCCCCTGGTGTTGTCAGCCCCGATTCCATCGGCTCCACCAGGGGTCCTCCCTCCATCGGCTCCGCCCTGGTCTCGCCCTCAGCCTGCTCCGCCCTGGTCTCGCCCTCAGCCTGCTCCGCCCTGGCCACGCCCTCAGCCTGCTTTGCCCTGGGGACGCCCTCAGCCTGCTCCGCCCTGGCCACGCCCTCAGCCTGCTCCGCCCTGGCCACGCCCCGCCCAGCCCCCAGTTCGTCCCCCCTCCTTCCTCTGTTATGCGGCGTGAGGTCACGCCTCCCGGGAGGGGGGAGTTCTGTCACAGTCCTTCGTCTGCACCATCCTGTCTGCGTCTCCAGCACTACACTTCCCATGATCCTCTCGTCTGTACACCTGAACTCACTCCCTCATCAGCCTCCCGTTCAGCGTCCTGTTCATCTGTTTCACCTGTCTTTACCTCATTTAGTCCTGATTCCCCTGTGTATTTAGTTCTCCCTCCTTCAGTCTGTGGTTGTCGGTCTATGTTGAATGTTACCCGGTCTTCCTGCCTGTATGTTGAATCTAACTATTATTAAACCTCTGTATTGGAGCTCTTTGGAATCTGCCTGTTCTTCTGCCTAGACCCAACCTCGTGACACCTGCGCTCTGCTCTTTTATTTTCTTCCATCATATTACTTAATATTACGCTGGAGCCTTCGTCTTCTGTGTTTCTCTGTAACTTACAGAACTCAAGCATAATCTTTAAACGCCGCCGTTCGTTCTCCGTTAATTAAGATCCCGGGAAGGCAGAACAGGAACATTGCAATAATAGCCTCCTCCACGCTGGTTTGTTGTTGTTGTATGTGACCGCGCTACATCTAGTGATAAAGACCGTCGCCGCCCTTGCGTTACCCCTCCTACCAGTTCCTATGGCCACTTGGCCAGTGCGAACGCAAGCAGCAAAACCAAGTTTGGGGGAGAGTAGTTCTTAGAACTGTTTAGAAGAAGTGGACAGTTCCTATAACTAAGTTCCTGTAACTACTTGGTCGGAAAGCGGCTTATGTGGAAAGAACCTTGGTTCCTGTCCTTAGGCTGTGTCGTGGTGTAACACTAACGACGGAACCCTCTCTCACAGGCTGGGGGGCGATCATGAGTGGTCGCTCGACCCAGGGTCTGTGGGAGGACCATCATCAAAACACATGGAAAAATGTGTTATCTGGGAAAACACTCTGGTCTTGGTCTCAGTTTGTGGTTTTGACTACAATACTAATAATCTGTAAATCACGTCATTCTCTCTGACTTCAACACAAAACTCATCTATACTCAATCGCTCATGTTCTTTTCAATCGTCATGATAAACCTGAATATCTCCTGTAACCATAGTGACAGTGACTAAAGTAAACATCAAAGATGGAGAAACACTGGAAAGTCACAATTTACATGATTTTATAATAAACCTCCAGAAAACACGCAACACACACAAGACGTGCAGTTAGGAATAATGACTAAAAGTGAATTTCTTCAGTCCTCTTAACAGATGTGGCTGAAGATCATAAGTGTTGAAATATGGATATCAAATATTGACTAAACAGATGTGAATATGAAGACTCACCTGATACAGTCAGTGTAACTCCATCACTGATCTTTGAGTGCTGTTGGGTTTCAGTCTGAGTTCCTCTACATCTGTACAGACCAGCATGAGACGAATCCACAGATGTGATTATATAGATCTGGTCTGTTCTTCTGCTGTTATCTTGATCTTTATACCAGCTGTACGTCCAGACTCCTGTCTCCTGTATGTCACATGTGAGAGTGACTCTCTCTCCTCTGAACACACGGACATCAGGCTTCACCTTCACTACAGGTTTGGGTCTCTCTGTGAAATGAGCAAACACACACTTCATGTTTCTTTCACTGAACAAAATAAACAATCTACAAAGTAAAAGAGCTCTTACTTTTCACTGTTATCTGTATTGCATTACTGGGGTCTGTATATGAGTTTCCTCGCTCTGCTCTACACTCGTATGTTCCTCCATCAGAGACTCTCAGAGAACTGATAGTTTTAGTTCCTGCATCATCACTGGATTCCCAGTTTGAGTTTTTCCACCAGTGAAACGTCCATCCAGTTGATCTTCCCACGTCACAGCTGAGAGTAACTGTGTCTCCAGTGAACACTGAACTCTGGGGCTTTACAGTCAGAGTCGGTTTATCTGGAAGTATAAATGAGCTCAACACTAAATCACTGTTATTCGTCATTTTCTTCAATAGTCTTCAGTTTTTATTATATATACTGTATATTTTTTATACAGTAAATCTCATTTATTTTGATTTGAGTGTTTGTCGTTTCTGCTCCCACTAGACAACAAATACTATTACAAAAATATAGATTTTGGAAGAAAATTCCAGATCTTTCAAAGAATACTGTTAAAGTCTCTGGTAAGTTCAGGGAATATTAGTTATAGTTCATAGTTATATAGGTTATGTGACAGACCCGGGTATGTTTACGGATAAAAGTGGATAACCTCAACTTTTTAATATTAAAAATAAATTGTGATAATATCATTATATGCTGAAGCAAAACGGCCATATTATATTTGCAAGCAAACATTTTACTTTATTTTATTGGAAACATCAAAAACAATATAATTCTTGTTCGCAGTAATATTCTTCTCAATAGTTTAATTAGTAAAAAAAAAAAAAAAAAAAAAAAAAAAAAGTGATTCAAGTTTTTAAATGATTTAAATAATACTGATTGCTCAACCGGCCAGTGGGCGGCGCTGCTTCTCAGTGTGTGTTTTCATGGATCTGTGTCTCATTTCGAAGCTGCGTCCTCTTGACGTCACATTTATCGTCCGCATACATTACGTTACAAAGAAGGTCTTATTTCAGGACAGTCACCATTGTAAAACTGAGCGTTATTGCTAGTAAAGTGTAAATTGTTGTAGTTTCCTCATGGGAATGTAATGGTCAGTTTACTGAGATGAAAAGTCTCGTGACGTTTGCGGCAGATAAATGATTCCTTCGGAGGATTCAGCCTTCGACATGAGACATAGCCGGAGACGGATTTGAGGATCTGTTGAGATTGAGAATGTGTGTGTGTTGTTCACCATGAGCTCTGAGTGACTGAACTTACTCACAGCGGCGTTTCGCCCATCATTACACGACTGAGAAAGTTTTAGAGTTCAGGGTTTATGGGACGGTCGGTAAGTTAAACCTGCTTTCTGGAACAGTTTGTCACTTGTTTACTGTTACTGGTTATAGATGTTAAATATTAGCAAAAAGGAATAAGCAATTACAATTCTGTATGATGATAAATAAAAGAAAAAGAGATCAGAAGGTAAGTGGTAATTTGTATTTTGAACGCTGAAGTTAATCGAGACACAGACTTTTCTCAATCTTATTTCTAGTATAACACTTCTAAAAGAAATAAACACACACACATATATATATATCTCACAAACATGAGGCTGAAATAATCAGCCAAATATTGTAGCTGTTGGAGGAATGCTCATAATGCATTCCTAATGATGTTTAACTCATTTGAACATTTTCATCATCTGCGAAAAAAACTCTGGTCTTGGTCTCAGTTTGTGGTTTTGACTACAATACTAATAATCTATAAATCACTATAAATCACATCTTGACTTCAACACAAAACTCATCTATACTCAATCGCTCATGTTCTTTTCTATCGTCATGATAAACCTGAATATCTCCTGTAACCATAGTGACAGTGACTAAAAGATGAAGAAACCCTAACACCGGAAAGTCACAATTTACATGATTTTATAATAAACCTCCAGAAAACACGCAACACACACAAGACGTGCAGTTACTGAATAATGACTAAAAGTAAATTTCTTCAGTCCTCTTAACAGATGTGGCTGAAGATCATAAGTGTTGAAATATGGATATTAAATGATGATTAAACAGATGTGAATATGAAGACTCACCTGATACAGTCAGTGTAACTCCATCACTGAAGTCTGTGTGTGAGTCTGATCTCTCTCCTCTACAACTGTATTCACCCCTGAGAGACGCATCAGCTGTGAAACTGTAATCTGCTGTTGTTGTATATGGATAGCCAGTGTGTCCATCTTTAATCCAGCTGTATCTCTGAATGTCTTCTCCTCCCTGTATGTCACATGTGAGAGTGACTGTCTCTCCTCTGAACACATGCTGATCTGGCGTCACCGTCACTACAGGTTTCACTGAAAAACATAGAAGAAAATATTAAAAAGCATAGTATCAAGATCACCGTCATGAACTCAAAACTATAACTAAACAAATTAAATATCTAGTTTTAGTTTTATTGTAAATTGTAATGATTACATCAAAAATATATGTATTGGTAAAAACTAAATGAAAGTGAAATACAGTATGTGTCCAGTCTGCATATCTTGATCTGTAAAACCGCATTTTTCCATCTTAAAAATATATCTATATTACGCCATATGCTCTCATTGACAAATGCGGAATGAGTACTACTCTGATTTATCTATTACCATTGAAGACTATGGTATGAATATGGCGTTACAATAAATATGGGGAACATTTTCAAAGTAAAGAAAAAAAATGTACCTAAGCTGTGTGTGTAGGGCATATGCTCAAAAAATGTACACTTACTAAAACTAAATGTTGTTTTTGTTTAGTTTTTTTTTTTTTTTGTTCTTTTTTATTACAGTGAATGGTGTGAAAGATGAACGGATTGACCGTGCCATTGGAGTGTGTAAAAAGGCAGTTTCTGCTTTTTCATACAGTTAAAGACAGGCAGAGATGGGTCTTTCTCCTCATCAACTGGTAACAGAGTCACTGACAAGATGGGGTTCGCGCCAAAAAAATGATTGATCGACTTCTTGAACAAGAGAGAGCCATCGTCCGTGTTCTGGGTGCTGACAAGAAAACCCGCCATCTTGTTCCTACGTGTCAAGATCTGAAGGTTTTAGATGCCACAAATAAAGCTATCAAACCCCTTCAGGACGTTACTGGCGCGCTGTCCGGAGAATCGTATGTAAGCGTTTCATACATTAAACCCGTGCTGCATTTGTTTAAAACAAGTCTCCTTCAGCGAGAGGAGAAAGATGTAGATCTCACCACTACAATAAAACATTACCTTGAACAGAAATACAGTGACCCTGAGAATGACGAGCTCCTACACTAGCCGCCTGCCCTTACCAAGCATGTCCCTGGTTTTACTCGCTCGCCGCCTGCCTTACCTACTATCTGGTTCGACTCCGCTTTCAGCACACCCCATCAAGAATCCTTTATCTGCCCTTAGGCTTTCAGTTATTAAACTTGTTGCAAATGGATCTGCCTCAGCCTTCTGATTCGCTACACTTGATTGCTAGACCCTATTCCGACTAAACTACTGAAAGAGATGCTTCCGGATGTTATAGATCCTCTTCGTACGTACCAAAAACCTTTAAGCTGGCTATGATAAAACCGCTTGTTAAAAAAAAACACAACTTGATCCTACAGAATTAATCAATTACAGGCCAATCTCGAAATCTGCCTTTTTCTGTTAAAGATACTGGAAAAAGCAGTTTCCTCACAACTGTGTTCCTTTCTTGAAAGAAATAATATCTGCGAGGATTTTCAGTCAGGATTTAGACCACATCATAGTACCGAGACAGCTCTCATTATCATCCGATCGCGGTTGTATCTCTCTATTAGTGTTACTCGATTTTAGTGCTGCATTTGACACAATTGACCACAACATTCTTTTAATTAGTCTAGAAAACTATGTTGGCATTAGTGGAATTACATTAGCATGGTTTAAATCATATCTGTCTGACACTTGATGGCTACACAGTTAAGTCTTCGTCGTCGGTTAGGAACCTGAGTGTGCTCTTTGATACCAATCTCTCATTTGAAAATCACGTCTAGCATTTGTAAAACTGCATTTTTCCATCTTAAAAATATATCTATTCAATCAATCAATCAATCAATCACACACTTAATAAACAAACTTCAGATAATCCAAAACGCAACAGCTCGAGTTCTTACCAGAACCAGGAAGTTTGACCATATTAGCCCGGTTCTGTCAACCCTGCATTGGCTCACTATTAAACATTGTATCAATTTTAAAATATTGCTGATTACTTATAAAGCACTGAATGGTTTATCTCCAGTACTTGAGCGAGCTCTTAACGCATTATAGTCCTTCACGTCTATTGCGTTCTCGAAATTCCGGCCAGTTGATAATACCTAGAATATCGAAATCGACTGCAGGCAGGAGATCCTTTTCCTATTTAGCACCAAAACTCTGGAACAATCTTCCTAACATTGTCCAGGAAGCAGACACACTCTGTCAGTTCAAATCTAGACTAAAACACATCTCTTTGGCCTAGCATACACGTAACACACTATAGACCTAAATTCAAATTAGGCTGCATAGTTTAGATCAGCCAGAACCGGGGACACGTCCCGTAAATCCTGATGTACTTGGTACATCATAAGGAGGATGGCGTACTATGCTAATATTAGTCCTTCTGTTTATCCCGATGGACTATCTATGGTGGACCTGCGCCTGGACCCATCCCAACTCATCCTGAAGTGCCGGCCTCATCGACACGACAGCCATCGGCACTGATCCTCAACAACTCGTCTCCAAACCCCAAATAGCTAGAAGAAATATAAAATACAAGCCAAACCAAAGCTCGGGTCTTAGGATTTTCAGACTTTTGCACCTCTACAGTTTCACTCTGGACTGAAACTGTATTTATCAGCAGTGTGAATGAGATTAAAATTCTCTTGATTATATGTGTGATCATGATCGTAGAGAGTTTATGAGGTCAATGATGTTGAACTCACCCTTCACAGAGAGAGAAACAGCAGAGCTTGATGTTGATGAGTTTGGTCTTCCATCTCTCTGTCCTTTACACCAGTACTGACCCTGATCAGACTCAGTAGCTCTTCTGATAGTGACAGTGTCTCTGTTTACAGTGTAACGATCAGACTTCTGTAACTTTACACTGTCTTTATACCACTCATATCTCCAGTCACTGTAATAAGGTTTTATCACACACTTCAGTTTGACTGTTTCTCCAGTGAATACAGGACCGGCTGGTGTCACAGTCACTGTAGATGTGGGTAAGCCTGAGAAGAGAGAAAAAACAAAGAACAAACTGATTTAAGAAAACAAATTATTACTGCGTTCCCCAATCGTGTCAATCGATGCAGTGTCCCGTTCCCTGTTCTCAGGGAACAT